AAACTGACCTGGAACTTGCAGGAATTCTCCTGCCTCTGCCTCCCAAGTACTAGAATTACAGGATACATCAACACACCCTGCAATGGACCTGAAGATTTTTCTTCCTGATATTCTTTTGTTATCAATTTCTTTGTTTTTTGAGACAGGGTCTTACTTTGTAGCCCTGGCTAGCCTGGAACTCACTATGTAGACCAGGCTGACCTTAAACTCACAGAGATCGTCCTGCTTCTGCTTCCTAAGTAGTGGGATTAAAGGCATACCACCATGCATAATTTGTTATTGACTTCTAATTTGTGTTTACAGTAGTATGAGTATGTACCACTTATGTATGACTCCAACTATTTTAAATATGTTGGTGCTATTTTATAGCCTAGAAACTTGGTCTGTTTTGAGGGATGATCTAAGGACACTTTAATATTTTATTATTTTTATTTTATGTGCATGAGTGTATTGCCTGCATGTAGGTAAGTGCACCCGTGTCATGTGATGCCCATGGAGGACAGAAGAGGCCGTTGGATCCCCTGGAACTGGGGTTATGGACAGCTGTTAGCTGCCATGTGGGTGCTGGAATTCGAACCCAGGTCTTCTACAAGAACAACCAGTGTTCTTAACCTCTGAGCCATCTCTCCAGCCCCTAAGGACACTTTAAAAATACACATTTTTTGAGGCTGGCAAGATGGCTCAGTAGGTAATAGCATTTGCTGTCAAGCCTGGTGATCTGAGTTTGATCCCTGGGGCTGACATGGTGGAGGGAGAGAGCTGACTCCTGCAAGTTGTCCTCTGACCTCTACACATTTACCATGGCATGCCCATACACATACACACACAATGTCAAAAAAAATACATATATATATATATATAATGTGTCTCTGTTCTTGTTAGGTGGGGTGTTCTAGAACAATGAGGTGACTGCTGGTTGAGGGTATGGTTTAGCTGTTCTGTCTGTGTGGTTTGGTATGTAATTGACTTAGCTGTTCTGTATGGTTTTGTATGTAGTAGGTTTAGCTGTTCTTTGTGGTTTGGTATGTAGTTGGCTTAGCTGTTTTGTCTGTGTGGTTTTGTATGTAGTTGACTGAGCTGTTCTGTGTAGTTTTATATGTAGTTGGCTTAGCTGTTCTCTGTCTGTGTGTTTTGTATTTAGTCATTCTGCCCATCACTGTCAACAGGAGTGAGTTGACACCTTCTGTTGCAATTGTTGCTTCACCCGTTTCTCCTTGCAGCCCAATGCACTTTTATCTTCACTTATCTGGAAGCTATGTTACTTAGCGCACAGACCTTAAGGATCAGCATGGCTTCCTGTGGACTGATTCCTTATAGGTCAGTACATAATCTATCCTTCACATCTAGTTATTATGCTCATGCCCCCAAGTCTTCTTTCTCAGCCATCAGCATGTAATAACAATTCCTGATACACTTTTGTTTGGTTTTCTTCTCTTGTTTTATTTTTAAAACTATTTTATTTATTATTTTTATTATTTTATGTATATGAGTGTATTGACTGCATGTATGTGAGTGCACCCATGTCATGCAATGCCTCAGAGGTCAGAAGAGGGCTTTGGATTCCCCTGGAACTGGAGTTAAAGATGGTTCGTGGCCGCCATGTGGGTGCTGGGAATCAAACCCGGATCCTCTGCAAGAACAGTCAGTGCTCTTAACCACTGAGCCATCTCTCCAGCCCCTCTTCTCTTGTTTTTTGTGATCATTGCTGTTTGATTGTCTGCAAGGATTGTCTGTTATTTTACTCCCAATTACCTGTGCTATTGAATATTGAATATATATAATATATATGTGTGTGTGGATATATATATTATATTGATTTGTTTATGGTTTAAGTCTATCACTTTGTATACTTTAAATTAGTTGAGACAGGGTCTCCCTGTAGCTGGCCTGAAACTCTCTCTGTAGACCAGGCTGGCCTCAATCTCACAGAGTACCACCTGCCTCTGCCTCCACTTTGTATACTTTTAATAGTTATTCTGGGCACTGGACTAGGCTGGTGTACTGTCTGAACAGCAGTGCTGTCACTTTGAACAGTTATGCCCACCTGCCTTGAGTATCAAGTGCCTGTATACTTCTGCTGCAACCATCACATATGCTTTAGAAAGCTCAAGAGGAGCCAGGTGTGGTGGTGCACACTTTTAACCCCAGCACTCAGGAGGCAGAGGCAAGTGGATATCTGTGAGTTTGAGACCAGCCTGGTCTACATAAAATGAATTCCAGGCCAACCAATGCTGTATAGTGAGACCCTGTGTAAAAAACACTAACCAACCAACCAACTAAACAAACAAGAAGCTCAAAAGGAGGCCTGCCTGGTATAGTCACCCATATCCCTACTTTTTCTATTGTTCTTCCTGGAGCTCCAAGAGTCCATTTTTGATCAGCTTCTTTCTGTTTGAATTCTATTAGCCATTCTTTAAGGGCAGGTCTTTTAGTTTGAATAAATTTTTTTTCATCTGAGAATGTCTTTTCCTTCTTTATTGCTTTGTTGTTGATGAGAATAGGAAGTAGAAACTGGCTAGGCAGTTTAGGGTGCAAAGACCCCAAAGAAAGTGACCAGTTTCTTTCTTGGTTAAGAACTGGAAATGTCTTGAACCTGCCAGTACACTTGTCCTTGGTTGAGGCCAGAGATGCCAGAACTATCTAATCCAAAGATGTCTCTGTTCCACCCTAGCCAGAGGCTGGGGATGCAAGGAGTCTGGTCTTTTTCCTTATCTCCTTTCCCTGACCTGAAAGCCATGCTGAGGATGGGACCAGAACCTTGAAGGACCTGAACACCTAGGAAGAGAACTGGACTGACCAGCTTATCTCTCTTCCCCTCCTCCCTCTACTAAACCTTTATTAACTTTCAAGAAATAGCTGGGCATGGTGGCGCATGCCTTTAGTCCCAGCACTCAGGAGGCAGAGGCAGGCAGATTGCTGTGAGTTCAAGGCCAGCCTGGTCTACATAGTGCAGGTCAGCTGGGACTACAGGGAGACCCTGTCTCAAAAAGACAAAAACAAAACAAAACAAAACAAAACAACTTCCATAAGGCTCAATGGAATCCCATTCCCGGGGACCCCTCTTGCTGTACAGGACCTCTGCTTTCTTTCTCTCTCCCAAGCTCCCTGTAATAGTATAATTCTTTCTAAAACTCACCCTCTGTGGTTCATGAATTCCATTCTTCGAATTTGCAAGGCAAGAACCCAAATGCCTGTGGCTTGAGTTGGTTTTGGTGGCTACTGAGTTTCTGGGACCCTAGTCTCTCAAGCTAAGCGTAACAGAGCTGAGAAAGACTCTGTCACTCTCAAAGACACCCCAATATTCCCGTATCATTGTTGTTTTTGAGAGAGTCTCATGTAGCCCAGGCTGTCCTTAACTTCTTGATCCTCCTACCTCCACCTCCTAAGTGCTGAGATTACAGGTGTGTTTCACTACTCCTAATTAATGTAGCACTACTGATCAAACCCAGGACCATATATGGATAAGGCAGGCACTACCAACTGACCTACATCTCCAGCCCTCTTTCATTCTTTTTCTTGCTATTATTTTTTTGGTTTAAAAAAAAATTAAAAATTTTACGTGTATGAGTGTTTTTTTTGACTACATGTATATATGTGCACCATGTCTGTGCAGTGTCTGAGAAGTCAGAAGAGGGTTGAATTCCCCTGGAACTGGAGTTACAGACAGTTGTGAGATGCCGTGTAGATGCTGGAATTGTCCAGTCCCCTGAAAGAGCAGCAAGTGTTCTTAACTACTGAGTCATTTTTCAGGCCCCTATTTTTTTTTTTTTTTTTGAGTCAAGTTCTCACTATGCAGCCCAGGTTGGCCTGGAACTCACAATTCTCTTGCCATAGCATCCCAAGTGCTGGGATTACAAGTGTGTGCCACAATGACTGCTTGTCTTTGGGGCTTTTTTTTAGGGGGCCGGGTGAGACATGAGGTCAACACTGACCTTGAATCACTATGTAGCTAAGGATGACCTTGAACTCACTTGTTAGAATTACAATCATACATACACCACCATGCTTGACTTTCTTTGAGTACTATTTTCTTTTGTCTTGGACTCCCCTTGCTAGTGTCCCATCCCCAGGATCTCTGGATAGGGTTGGGGAAGTAACACATGTCTGGGGTACATTAGAGAGGTATGTGGTGCTGCACCTTGAGGCAGTACAGGGGAGTGGGGAGCAGCACCTGAGCTGGCTGTAGACGCAGAAGCCTGCACATTTAGGATGCTCCCCTCCCTGCTTGCAACAATAGCTGCTGATTTCCCCCAGTTGAGCTCAGAGAAAATGACAATGTGTCATTCATCCATCTCCTGGTGCCTGGCACAGGGAGGGGAGGCGGGACGCCTTGGGCGGTGCAGTGGCCAGTGTTGAAGCCAGTATATTTCAGGAAGGGTAAGAGGTAAGCATCATCTCTGGAGGTGTAACACAGGCGGCTGTCAGGAGGGAGGGAAGTGCATTTCTTCCTTACTCCTTCTCTTGTTAGAGAACTGAAGGGTGAATGGGGGTGGCGGTGGGGCAGATTGCGGAGGACTCAGAGCTCCAGCTCAGCCCAGGAGCTTGTCTGGGGTTGCCTTCCCTGCCACACTAGGCTCCATCTCCTGTTGCCACAGAGATAGGAGACGGTTGCCATAGAGACCGACTTCCAGAACCAGCCAATCCTGAGCTACCGTTACAGCTCATCCTAGGTGAGGGGGGAAGCTCTCGTCCCCGGACTCCCTGTGCCCTCTGCCCAGTCAGTGAGGGGTAGGCTTGGCCATCACTCCCCAAAGTACCCCTGCCTCCCACCTCCGGAATATCTAGTCACCTCCCCAGATCTGTCTCTAATTCTCCCTGTACCCCCTATCTCCTCCTCCTCCTTCCAGCTAAGGGGCGATGCCACCTTGGGAGGAGCCAGGGCTCCAAGTAATCCCTAACTCCTCCCTCGTAAAGGAGGTGGATGCGGGAAAGGCGGGGCAGGGCGCAGCCTCCTGTCCTTAGAAGGAGGGAGGCGATGAGGTGAAAGTGGGCAAGGAGCTCCCCCCTCCGCGCTCCGCAGTGCCTTGCGCGAGCGCCGGCGCACACTCTCTGGGCTTGCTGACGGGCAGGGCGGCGCTGACGTCATCCACGCCCCCCCCCACCCCAAGCAGAGGGGCGGTGGCCCAGCCGGCTACTCTAGGCGCATTGACGGACAGACGGACAGAGGGACAGAGAGACAGGGGGACCGGCGGGCGCACGTCCAGGTCATGCCCGGGGAGGCTGCGCGCGCTGAGCTGCCGCTGCAGGAGGCAGGTGGGCCTGGGCCCCACACAGGTGAGGCCGCGGCTGCTCCCCATTCTGGCTCAGTACTTCTCTCTGGCTTTCTCCCTCCTCTGTCCCCCAGTCTCCTCGCAGTCCCCTCCCGTCTTTTCAGCTTAGCCTTTTCCTCCACCTGCACCCTCCCCCCACTTCCCCAGGACTTATGGCAGGGCTGGAAGGATACAGACAGCATCTTCCAAGCCTGGCGCTATGAGGGGGGGATTGCCCTTGGCCCTTCACTCTGGGCTATGGGGTGGGGTCTGTGCTCTTTAAACAGAATCCCACCTGCTCCGGCCTCTGCCGCATCGTGCTCCATTGTCCACACCGAGCTGCCGCGCCCCCATGACCAAGTGGGTTTGGAAGGAGGCTTAGTGGGTGCCTGCAGGCTCATCCTGTGCCCACCAAAGGGTCCCCAACGGCATGCCAGGCTGCCCAGGCCAGCAGTCGGCCAGGCTTGGAAGGGAGTAGAACCGATGGGGCCTGGGAGCCCAGCCAGAGAACACTAGCAGAGCTGGATCTGGGGGGTGGGGCCCTGGGGAGGTGGCCTGGCCAGCAGTGGCCCTACTACTGTACAGATCCCGAGTCCTTGGAGAGAAGGGGCAGCAAATGTTGGTGGAGGCTATCTGGGGTCCACTTTTAGGCCTGAGGGAATTCAGAGCCTGGATGGTCCTTGTTGGAGGTCTGCTGTGTGTGTGGCTTGGGCAAGGCCAAGGGCACCTTGCAGTGTACAAGAAGTCATCAGGACAGGATGGGCAAGAATGGAGATGGTACCAGTGCTGGGCCAGGGGTCTGGTTGAGATACTCTTGGTGGGAGACAGCAGTCTAGGCTGGGCCTCTCCAGACCCAGAGTCATAAGGTGGTTCCCTTCTAGCTTGCTTTGGTGACCTTGAATGAGTCACGCTCAAAAACCCCTTTGGCCTTTTATTTCCCTTCCATTTTAACCTTGGCCCACTTCTGCCCTTCCTCTGCCCTGGGGCCACACTAGGAACTAGAGGTGGCAAGAGTCTGGCTTTGGAGCACAAGGTTATGCCACCTCTCAGTGATGGCATCTCCTTGCCAGGCATGCCTCAAGGGACCTGAAGGGTTCCCCAACCCTTTCTGTCAGGACCCCAAACAGCCCAATCCTAGGTTGGTAAGTCCAGCTGGTGGCAAAGAGCCAGTGCCCTGACACTACTGAGGGCTGACAGTAAGTACCCCCTCTTCTGCTTCCTTCCCATCCTGACTGATGTCTGCTTTGCAGCTGAGAAAGACAAAGCAGAGGTTTAGGCGGTGTTGCCGTCACCAGTAAGCACTGTAGAGCCGGCAGTACTGGCTGTGTGCCTACCAGAGAGGCAGGCCCCTAGGCACTGTCCCTCCCCCTTTTGGGCAGGGCTTGGCCCTGGCCCTGGGGATGGTAGGAGGGACCTTCAGTGAATACTTCAAATAGATGTGCATTTGGCCTCAGTCCAGGTGATGGATGGGATATTACAGAGCCATTACAAATGAGGCTGGTGAGCACTTAGTGCACAAGGAAAAATATTTTGGAGGTCGAGTTAAAAACCACAGAATGCAAGTGAATGTGCAGTGACCTCAGTGGTGACATGAAGGTCAGCAAGAAGCAAGAGAGCAGCAGCTAGAGAAGTGGGAGATGGTGTGGGGTGCTGCCACCGGGAGGGTTCTATGTTCTATCTTCCCAGGCAGAACAGTACTTTCTGATCCATAATACTTCATAGTATGCATATGTGATGTGGCTAGTCAGCTGGAGGTGTGTCAGCCCATGGAGCTTTCCTGAGCACCTGTGGCTGCCTTAGCTGGGACCCAGAGAAGGACCCTGTGGTGGGGGTTGGGGGAGCAGGCCAGGAGCTCCCAGCATGGTGGTGAAAGATACCATGGAGTGGCTGCAACCATAGAAAGGATCTGGCCAGCCCTCCTGCAGCTATCCCATGGGCACCCTGCTCACCATCCTTTCCCACCACTGTCCTAGCAGGATGCTACAACCCAGACTCTGTGGGACATGTCTGTCTCCATTCTCCAGAAAGTTAGATGCACAGAGGACGGAGCAGAAAACCCCAGGGACAGGATGGCCTCAAGTGTAGGCAGCCAGGGTAGGAGAAAGATGGGCCAGAGGCAAGACCCCCTGCTTTACAGTAAACACAAGTGAGACATGGAATGTTCTAAAGCTGCAGTGTGCAGGACTCCTCCCATCACAGGAAAGGGTTAACATTGCCCAGTGGATTCTGATGGTCATCTGCTTCTGCCAAGCCTAGTTGAACCACACTGAAACAGCAAACCAGTTGCACCTTTGCAGAGGTGCCTCCAAAGAAAAGCCTGGGTTTCTAACACAAGACTCCCCACAGTCCCCTTCTATAAAGCCACTGTCAGCAGCTGTCTGCTCTGCTGAAACTCCGGGAAATTCTCCAAGTGCATCTTCTTCCCTCCCTTCCCCAACCAGCCTGGTAGATGTGTCCAAGGGCCCCTCATGTCCTTCTCTGTCTCCACAGATCTCTCATATGATGCAGCTGCTGCCACCATCCTGAAAGGGGACCAGCGGGAGTCCCAAGCCCTAGCCCCAGGGCCCAGCCCCCTGACCCTGACATTCCTGCCCAGCAAGCCAGGTGCCCGGCCCCAGCCCGAGGGGGCCAGCTGGGATGCAGGGCCTGGCGGGGCTGCTGCATCCTGGGCAGACCCAGCAGAGGGTAGCCCAAGCCCAGTGCTCCTTTCTGAGGGCCTGCCCCTTCAGCCTTTGCCTGCTGAGGCCCCTCTCCCTGCTACCCTGGAGCCCCGGATCGTGATGGGTGAGGAAACATGTCAGGCCATCCCCTCACCTAGGGCAGCCTGGCCAGTGCTCAGGGATGGGGAGGGTGGGCACATCGACCTGTACCCACCTCCCCAGCTGTGTTCTCAGGGTGAGCCTCCTGTGCCTTCCCCTCCCCAAGACTTAGATTCCTACTTCACACCCCCCTCTACCCCCACTGAGACCACCTATGCCCTGTTCCCTGACCATGAGCCCCACAGGGATGCCTGGGACCTAGAGGCCGAGCTGCTGGATGAGTTACTGGACTCGGCACCTGCCTCACCCTCAGGCTCCTATATCACAGCAGATGGGGACAGCTGGGCCTCATCACCATCCTGTTCCCTCAGCCTACTGGCCCCAGCTGAAGGGCTGGACTTTCCCTCAGACTGGGGCCTGTCCCCAGCAGGGTCTGTGACAGATGATCAAGAGCCTCACCAAACAGCACCTCCAGAGCTCTCATCTTCTGAGTCTAGCCTCTCAGCAGACAGCACCTCTTCCTGGAGCCAGGAGGGCCACTTCTTTGACATGAACTTCCTGGCCAATGACCCCATGATCCCTGCTGCCCTCCTACCCTTCCGGGGTAGCCTCATCTTCCAGGTGGAGGCTGTGGAGGTGACACCATTGTCCCAAGAGGAGGAAAAGGAAGAAGAGGAGGATGTGGCAGCTGAAGCTTCAACCCCGGCTGGAGATCTGGGTGGAGAGGGTGACGACAGCACTTCTGCCTCCTTCCTGCAGTCACTGTCTGATCTATCCATCATCGAGGGCATGGATGAGGCCTTCGCCTTCCGGGATGATACCTCAGCAGCCTCTTCGGACTCAGACTCAGCCTCTTATGCGGGAGCAGATGACGACAGGCTATATAGTGGGGAGCCCCACGCCCAGTCCAGTGCCCTGATACAGGATAGTGCCCAGAAGACAGAGCAGGAACACAGAGATGGGGCTGTATTCTGGGGGACAGTGGTCACACCTTGGGTTTCAGAGCAAGAAACCTATCTTACCAATAGTCAGGAATCAGTTGCAGACATGAGCAAAGAGGCCCTCACTGCAGGTATAGAAGCTGAGGCTACTGTGACCCCTCCTAATCTGCAGGCAGCCCCAGACTCCCAAGTAGAGGAAGTTACCAGAGTAACCCCTTGGATCGGAGTTAAAAAAGTTGACACAACTGTTAGAAAAGCCTTCAGGGCACTGCCTCAGCCCTCTCAGAAGGGGATAAGCACTACCTTAGGCTGTGAGTCTGCCTCTGCAGAGTCACTTCTAGATCCCCAGGAAGAAATAAGCCCCACCTTGTGCCCAGTCCATCCTAAGAATTTGAAGAAAGGATACTGGGGTCTTCCCTCAGCTCTGGATCCTGTGGCTGTGACTTCCATAGGTTCCCAGCAGGCTGAGGGGGGAGTTACAGTATCCCAGGACTCCCCTGTTGCATCACCTCCATTGCAAGGTGCAGATCCCACCTCAGATCCAGAGTCTGTGACTGTAGCAACACTAGGGCACCAGCAGGCTGAGGGGGATGTCACAGTATCCCAGGACTTCCCTATGGCATCATCTCCACCCTTGCAAAGCTCACATCCCACCTCAGACCCAGAGCCTGGAGCTGTGGCCACACTGGGGTTCCAGCTGATTGAGGAGGATGTCACAGTACCCCAGGACACCCATATGGTATCGCCACTTCAGAAAGGTTCAGATCCCACCTCAGACCCAGAACCTGGGATTGAGGCCACACTAGAGTCCCAGGAGGCTAAGGGGTGTATCATATTAGCCCAGGACACCCCTATGCTGTCACTTCTATCCTTGCAAGGCTCAGATCCCACCTCAGACCAGGAACTTGGGGCTGCAGCCACACTGCAGTCCCAGCAGGCTGAGGAGGATATCACAGTACCCCAGGATTCTCCTATGGTGTCACCTCCACCTCAGAAAGGTTCAGATTCCACCTCAGACCCAGAACCTGGGATTGAAGCCACACGGGAGTCCCCGGAGGCTAACATAGTACCCCAGGACACTCCTATGGTGTCACTTCTACCCTTGCAAGGTTCAGATCCCACCTCAGAACAGGAACTAAGGGCTGTGGCTACACTGAAGTACCAGAAGGCTGAGGGGGATGTCACAGCGCCCCAGAATGTTCCTATGGCATTACCTCCATCTCTGCAAGATACAGATTCCACCTCAGACACAGAGCTGATAGCTAAAAATGTCCCTCAGGCCCTGCAAGTGAAAACAGGCTGTACCCCAGGGACTAAGCCTTGGGACTGTATGGCCCAGCAGGAATTAGGTGTGGCCTCAGAACCAAGGCCAGTGCCTGAGGTGCAGGATGCAGTCCCCCATGGAGACTCAGAGCAACCAGCCTCAAACCAGGCTCAACAGGATGGCACAGAACGGGCTATAGAGGCTCCAAAAGAGGGAGGTCTCACCTTGGGCATGGAGACCCCTGAGCCTGCATCTGGCATGGAGGAGGAAGTAGCTGAGGGGCTATCTGCATCCAAGAAGGAAGCAAGTCTTGAAGCCCATAATGGGGTTAAGACCCATTCACCTCAGAAGAAGGCCTTGGGGACCAAGAACCAGCGGGGTGGAGGCCCCAAGTCACCAAGGCAAGGAAGCAGACCCAGGTCAGCACCCCGAGGTGCAGGGGAGGCTCTCAAAGCAAATTCTGCTGCTTGTCCTGAGGTCAGCCAGACACAGTCCCTGAGCTCAGCTGGAGAGGGAAGGGGCTTAAGCAGCAAGGGCACATTGGGCCCCAGGCTTCCCATAGCTGTGGCTGCAGAAGCCAGGCTAGGTTCCTGCCCAGGGTCCCCAGCAAGGGCCGCACACAGGCTGGGCAGGGTCTGCTCTGAAGAGGCTGCCCAGTCTGTACCACCTTCCCAGCAGCTGGAGCCTATACTGGGCCTGGATAGTGAACAACCCCAGGTGACCCCTGGTGTCCTTAACCCTTCCATGCTACAGTCCCCAGGAAACCCTGCCACTGACTTGACTACTACACCTATACCCCAGAGCAGGCTCCTGAACCCTGACCCTTCTGCTCCCAGTATCCTTGCCAGGCAAGCCCAATCACTCCCGGGACCTGCAGCCCCTTGTCTGTGCCCCATCCCCGGGAAAGCCTCTGTGGAAGATGAGGAGCCCTCAGCCTCCTGTGGTCTCCTGCCGCCTCAGGCAGAAGCCCAGGGGGTTGCCACCACCACCATTGCCACCTCAGGATCCACAAAGCCTCTGGGAGCCCGGCGGCGGGTCAGCCTTTCAACTCACTCCAGTCTCAACCCTAAGGTGACCCCCACAGATGCCAAAGACCTGGCTTGCTTGATCTCAAGCCCCTGCCAAGTGCCTCCTCCCTCTGGGACCCAGAACCCACCTGGCCCTCAAGGGCTTCTGGCCCCCGAACAGCAAGAGGACGAGGACAGCCTGGAAGAAGGTAAGGGTGTATGTTGGGGGGAAGTTAGGGCCCGAGCCAACTAGACTCCTTACAGGGAGGCACTAGAGCCTGGACAACTCTCTGCAGTAGCAAGAGGCCTTCCTCATACCTCACCCCATCCCCAGACTCGCAACAGGCCCCAGGCTCTGATCAGCATTCGGAAAGCCATGGAGAGTCGTCCGCCGAACTGGATGAACAGGATATCTCAGCACCCCAGACAGTGCAGTGCTCAGCACAGGTGCTGGCCCCAGGGGGCATGGGTCTCTGGGTGGGCACCACCCTACCCCCCACCCCCACAGACACTCAGCCTTCACTTTTCCACAGGGTCCAGCAGGTAGTAATGAGGAGACCATTGCCAAAGCCAAGCAGAGTCGCAGTGAGAAGAAGGCTCGAAAGGTCAGCTGAGCACTGCCCTGGGGACCCCAAGCTGGGACATGCACAGAGGGAGGCACCCTTATTAAGGCCTCTCATACCCTGTGGTCAATGAAATCCTAACCATAAAAGGACCTTTGAGTCAAATGTAGTAACCCACCCCTTCCCTAAACATCCAGAGCTGGAATGTCATGAGAGGCCCTCACAGAGGGAAGTCAGCCCCTGACATGGGAAGGACAGCTACATAGAGTCACATAGAAGGTGTTCTGAGCCCCTTGCCCTCTGCCTCAGGCAATGTCGAAGCTGGGCTTAAGGCAGATTCAGGGAGTCACTAGGATCACCATCCAGAAGTCCAAGAACATCTTGTTTGTCATCGCCAAGCCAGATGTCTTCAAGAGCCCTGCCTCAGACACCTATGTGGTCTTTGGTGAGGCCAAGGTCTGTCCTGGCTATGCCCATACTGTGGCTCTGGGGACAGTTGGACAGGGGCAGGTAGACAGGGAGTGGATGAGTTCTGCTGACACATCTGTCCCATGATGCAGATTGAGGACCTGTCCCAGCAAGTACACAAAGCTGCGGCAGAGAAGTTCAAGGTGCCCTCGGAGTCCTCAGCCCTGGTCCCTGAGTTGGCCCTGGGGTCCCGCGTGAGGCCAGAGTGTGAAGAGCAGGAGGAGGAGGAAGAGGAAGAGGAGGTAGGGCCCAGGGGCAATGAATACTACCTGGGTTGGGAGGTTTCTGGGAAGGGTCCTACACCAGGGGCCTCAGGCCGCTTCAGCCACCTCCATATTCCCGTCACCAGGTAGAAGAGGCTGGGCTGGAGCTACGCGACATTGAGCTGGTGATGGCACAGGCCAATGTGTCCAGGGCCAAGGCTGTGAGAGCCTTAAGGGACAACCACAGTGACATCGTCAATGCCATCATGGTGAGCTAGTGCTAGCCCTGTCCTCATCCCCAACTGTCCCTGTACCAGAGAAAGGCCCTCTCGCAACACGACTTTCTCCGTATTTTTCTCAGGAACTGACAATGTAGCTGCTGACTGGAAGCTGGGGCCATTCTGCCCTTTCCCCCAGCTCTGCTGCCCAATAAACCGGCATCCCATCATCACTCTCTGGTGTCCACTGAGCTCTCTGGTATAGTCTTATTACCCTTGGGTGTCCCATCAGAGCCCTTTGATGTCTCATCGCCCTCTAGTGTCTCCCTAGAACCTAGTGGTATTACCTCATTGCTTTCTGTCATGTCCTTGCTACCTTCTGATGTCATCACCGTGTGTGCCATTATCTAATTGCCCTCTGGGGTCCCCTCAACACCTGGTGTCCTCCCAGTACTCCTGGAATCCCGTCTTCACTGTCCTTTGTTGTCCTAACACCCTCTGGAGTCCCTTCATCACTGTCACTGTCTCAGGCCCAGCTATGGCAGAATGGCCATGCACTCCCTGCCCTCCACTCCTACAGTCTTGATCACACTGCTGAGGGTGTTCGGGTCCTTTACGTACACACACAAGACCCTACAGATGTGTGCATGGCAGGGACTGGGATGCACTTGGGCACAGGGTGGGCTACAGCTTGTCTTCAGCCACTAGGTGCTTCTAGAGGAGGATTATTGGAATGTAAATAGAGAGGCCACCCCAACAGTGTCTCAACTTTCCTAGCCTGGCTTAGATTCCCATAACCAGTCCCAGGACAGCTGGTGACAGGAGGGAAATCCTATCAAATGCTGTCCTGAAGTCATACTGCTGAGGAAAGCGCCTGAGACCCCTAAAATGCTCTGGTTTGTCCTGATCCAACCGAGGTGTCCATGGAGTCCCAGGGCCTCTGCTACAACCACACCAGGCAAGCCAGAGAAAGCTCCAGTCCTGAAATGCAGCCCCTCTGCCTTGGCAGACATAGACCCTCCTCCCCAAGTGTGGGTAAGAGGCAAGAGACAAGTCTCTTCTAGGACAGCCTAACATCAAGTCACTTCCCTCCCCTCTAGGTGTTCTAAGGAGGTTTGAAGAGGTCTAAAGGGTAGAGGGCAGAATGAAGTCAACAGGGCTTGGGAGAAGAGCCGATAGTGCAAGGGGACAGGACAAGGACAAGGGGAGGATTATGGGGCCCACGTCAGCTTCCCAGAAGCCCCAAGTCTGAGCTCTGCAGACTATACTCCGAACTTATCATCAAGAAGGCCCAGGCAAGGGGCCAGAGCATGCCAGTACCTTTGGCAATCTGTGCATAGGATGCGAAGTTCAAGGTGTCCCTAACATGTCAGAGATCCCAAGAATGTCTTTCTTGCCCCCTATCCAGAGCTAAAACAGCACCCACTGCCTTCTTCTCTGCCAGCCCTGAGTAGTGTGGGCAGTTGTGGTCTACCAAATGGGCCAGAATGGAGCTTCCTCATGACAACCTAGCCTTCAACCAACTAGAACAGAAAAATGCTTGACAACTGAAGCTTAAATTATTCACATTGTAGTAAACTCCTTTTTAAGGTCTCTGAGAGATAGAAGAAGAAAATCATGTGCAAAATTATCAGCTGTCCAGGGCCAGGCCGACAGGACCAGCATTTCCTGCCAGCTAGGCCTAGCCCTCCCAGAGTGAGGATGTGCTACAGGGCATGGCTGAGCCCCTGTGTCAGAGCACATGTCCTATGGCAGCTCCCCACTCCTTCACAGTAGAGGACCTGGCCACCAGGGCCACCTGTGCCTACAGCCCCTTCTTCGCCCTTAAGCCAGCAGGAAGGGCTGACACACAGGTCTGGGTATATCCTCCCAGGAAGGCCTGGGATGGTTCTGTGAGACATGTACACTGTCATGATCCATCATGCTGAGTCCTGGTCCATGCTGCAGCCCAGTGCCTCAATATCACTACTGATGTCTGAGATCATGCGGTCCCACTCATCCCCCTCTGAGGGAGCCGACCGGTCATCAGGGCTGCCTGTGGTCCTGTTCCCATTGGTGGTGGAGGTGGAGGTGGTGCTCAGGGCCCGACGGTGTCTGCCAAAGCTGTCAGTGATGATGCCACGGCCGTCTTTCACGCCAATGGTTTCCAAGAAGTTCTCAAAGTGCTGACTGTCTTTCTCAGGGATGAAGGGCCTCAGACCTGCCAAAGTATGACCCCAATGTGACACCCCAGCAGGCTCAACCACAGTTGAGCCTGGGTCCAGACAGGACCCCCAGGTACAGCCCATGGCCCCTGACGGTACACAGGTTATACTCTGGAGTGAGGTTTAACTAAACCTCACTGACAAGGACCCCAGCTCTGGACAGCCTGCTGTCTGTCAATCTCACCTTCTTTGGCCCTGAGGCATAGCAATGGCTAGGGACCCATGACCTCTTTTCTACCAGCTCTCAGTACCCATATCTTACAAGTCAGAAAGCCAGGGTAATGAGGTACTGTCTTTAGAGCCAGAACTCATGCCAAAGCCAGTGGCCAAACTCAGGATGATTTCTGCAGTCAGTAAGCTTCCCTCCTACTCAGGAAGCCCAGTGTCTCAGAATCCCTGAACCCAATCTGGGTAGGCAGCCTGGGGAGGATGAGGATTTCATGCATGCAACAGAGTTTGCAAAAGGCACTGGCCCCACCCTCTTTCAGCAGGAGCTCCCAACATAACCCCCAACATGACATGCTGGTGCACACTGGTAATCACAGTCAGGCAAGAAGCAGGAGGACTAAGAGTTCAAGGTCACCTTCCTCTCCTTAAAGAGTCTGAAGCCAGCCTGGGCTACATAAGACTTTGTGTCTCAAATCCAAACAAACAACAACAACAAAAAACAACAATCTCGACTCCATTTAGGTGAGGGACAGGGGAAGTAAAGACAGCCTGGGGGCCAGAACTACCTACTTGATGCAGGGCTCTAAGAAGTGGGCACCCTCAGCCCAACTCCTCTCCAACCTACTTTTAGTTTCTTTGAGACAGTCTTGCTACATAGACCAGGCTGGCCTTGAATGTGTGATCATCTTGCCTCAGTTCTTCTGGGTGCTCAGATTCTAGGTTTATCCCATCACGTCTGGTCTATCCACTTGTTGCAAAGAGGCACCTGAGAGTAACATGGGATGGTGCTGGCTGCGGGCCTCGGAATGAACATTCTGGGCTAGACGCCAGGGGTGTGGGATCTGAATCCTGCTAGCTGCTTGACCCAGAAAGGCTGCAGGAAGGTAAACTCCAGTGAGTCTAGTCTCCAGCCCTTCAACTCTCAATAGCAAGGAGTCCTGCACAGGCAAGTGATGCCCACCAGGCAATAACAAGCAAGGTCAGCTGACCTCCCTTTATTTACTGAGGCCACTGGTCAGAACCTAGCAGCTTTCAATGAACTCCAGCCAGTTCTGAGTGTTGGCAGAAGGGGAATCCCCAGAGGTATTACTGTCCCTTCCAGGTGTGGGGCAGATGTTGTAAGTCTAAGTCCCAGATGGCTGTGAGAGGCCTGATGCCCAGGCTGCCAGTGACTCTGACTTAATGTGCTGGGCTTTTCAGGGGTCTTGGCAAAGGTTAACTCTTCCATCAGGATGGTATCTTTGCCTCCCCATTCACCAAACTCCTACAGGCTCACTAAAACCCTCTGATAAGCTCCCTCTTTAAAGAGTCCCCCGACTCCCTCCAGCAGCACACCTCTGGAGTTGATGGGTTCTGTTCAGTCTCTCTTGGGACCTTCTCATGCCCATCTCACTTAGTTCAAGGTTCTCAAGAGTGAGGGCCTGAGAAGACCCCTTCCACACTCCTTCCAAGTAGCTATGTTGATCCTGTGACCCTGGCAGAGCACTGATGACTGAGATGTCTGATGGAGCTCCTTCCCTACGGACTCTGCATATTCCTAGAGGAGACCAGTCACCCTCCCAGGCCCTGCTCACCAAGCAGCAGAAACTTGCGGCTGTCTCCATAGAGCTGCCGCAGACTGATACAGAACTCATGGATGGAGGCCCCATTTCGGTACTCATGCAGCAGTGCTGCAAACTGCTGGATCTCCTGTGATGACAGCTTGGTGCGTAACTGTGAGAAAAGAGCAGAGGAGTGAGGGACTGACACAGGCAGAGAGCAGCAGCTGGGCTTCCCCGCTTACCACACCCTGAGTGGGCAAGGGTGTTAGGCCCATGCTGATGGCACAATGGCCATGCCTGGCTTCACATGTACACCTGCTGTGGGGTCAGAATACATACCATGTGTCTCTGTCATTAGACCCTGCATGGGAACCACCTGGAGAACCAGGGGCCCACACAAAGGATCCTGATATGAAAAGCTCCTGAGCTCTGCACTGACTGAGCAGCAAGGACTGCCCCTTGGGGTTCATAGATCCAGAAGGCTGAGTTTTCAAGGAAAAATCTAAGATGCAAGGCAGCATCAGGCCATAGGCACTGCTAGGGCTGTTGTTCCCACTCAGGATCTGGCACCAATATGGTTCAGACTCAACAGCTCAGCACCAAGTCAGGCTCCCCAGACTCCCACTCCTGAAAGCAACATTAGCAAAAAACCAGGCAGGTGATGGGGAGGACAGCTCACAGCTGGTCCCAGCCCAAAACCAGGGAGGAAATTACTAGCTCAGCGTGACTGGCTCCTGAGAGCTGCCAGCTGCCTACCGTGAGCATGTAATCCTGTAGCAGTTCTGTGGCACTGGTGCTCAGCTCGCTCTCGCTGACTGTCTTGCTGTGGGGTGATGCCTGCATGCTGAAGGGTAAGGGTGGCAGGCCTCCCATATCCCCAGAGTCAGGGAAGCAGCTGTAAAGGAACACGGTATGTGGGTGGACAGCCTCTGTTCCCAGAATCTACACTATTTCAGGTGCCTGGACAGGGTGGGGCCCCATACTGCACAAGAGCAGAACTGTATAAGTGAATGTCAGTGACTCTGCATATCTACAAGTGGAGCCCAGTGACCAGAGGTTCCAGAAGATCTGCTTAGCCTGGTCTTAAGGCTTCCCAATGGAGTAGCTCCCAAATGGGCTTTGGGCAAAGGGAGGGCTTCATAGGGAAGGCAGCACTGTGTAGGGATAGGGGGCTCAGCCTGCACAGCAAAGCTGAGGGACAGGAGAAAGGGGTGTAGGAGTTGGCTGGGGATACATGGACTAGGCTGCCACAGAAGATTCAGGCAAGGGCATGGAGGAGTTGGAAGGAGCAGAATGTCACCATCCAGTGTGCCTTTTCCAAGGTCACTTCTGGAAGCCACAGAAGGTGGGGAGGAGAAAGCGCTGGCAGGGTTCTAGATGTGGACATCTGGGGCACTGGGCTCAGGGTTCTAGATGGGCTCATCTGGGGCTGACCAGCCAAAGGCTAGACAACATAAGACAGTGACTTGATGACCCTATCCCAGGGCCCAGTAGATGCACTCACAAGGTGCTGGCTTCAGGGTCGTAGGTATCCTTCATGTCCACTTTTGTGGAAGAGTCATCTGTGAGAAAGAAGTAAAAAGCCTTCAGCACAGGGTAGGTGCTTCAGGCACAGCCACCTAGCCAGCCCTGAAGTGAGCACTCAGTGGAGGTGACTCTGATGCCACATCTATAGGCGATAACAGCAGTCCTATCATGGAGCGTCCAATCCAGAAAGTACTGGTGGCCAAGGAAAATCTCCCAGACTTGAGCCCACATCCCTCCTGGGGGCTTCATCAAATATATATCCTGCTGTAGGCTGGAGTCTACAGAGGACACACAGGTGGCCAAAGTCAACTGTGTCAAACCAAATCAGAGAGGCAATGCCGTTTGCCCTAGGTCATACGGCAGAAGCCACAGAGCTAGGCTGTTGAACTTCAGCCTGGACACAGCTGAGGCGTCAGAAGCCCTGACTCCCTTGGTCTAGCAGAGGATGTGACACAGTAGTTCCTGGATAATGCCCAACCCATGTCACTTTGTGTGGTAAAGACAATGCTTCGCTTTCCCAATCCTGAGGAAAGTGACATTCCAACACAAGGACAGCAATGAGTGAAAGCTCTCAGGAAGGCAGAGTCTAGAGAAGGGTAAGATTTTTTTTTTTAATTGAGTTTTCCTTTTTTTATGTGTATGAGCCTGCCTGTGTGGAAGTGTACCTGTGCATGCAATGCTTGTGGAGTACAGAAGAGGGCGTTGGATCCTCTGGAACTGGAGTTATAGGGTGCTAGGATTTGAACCTGGGTCTTCTGCAAGAGGAGCCAGTACTCTTAACCGCTGAGCCATCTCTCCAGCCCTGAGAAGAGTAAGATTTTAACTGAGAGCAGGAGAATGGTGACGCCAGAGGGCTGTCTATAGTAGGGGAACCAGTTGTGTATGGTGTCTGGTAATGGCCCAAAGATGTCTACATTCTGATTCCCAGAAGATGAATGTTATATTATGTGGCAAAAAGGAATTAAAGTTACTAATTAGCTGACCCTATGTAGGGGATTTGATGTGATTGCAAGTGTTGCATTATAGTTTTGATATGAAGCATCCTCCCCCAACCTCCCAAAGGCTCATGTACTAAAGGCCTTGTTCCCAGCTGGTAGCACTATTTTGGGAATTCTGGAGACTTGGAGATGTGGGGTCTGGCTATGGAAGTAGGTCACTGGGGCTATGTCCATTCAAACTGAACTGTATCATGACTTTGTCTCTCTCTGATTCCTGGCCATCAGGAATTGAGTAACTTTGTTCTTCCTGCCCTCTCACCATGATGCTGGATCTCACCATAGCCCAGGAACAACAGAACCATGGACTGAAACCTCTGACACTGTGCACCAAATAAATCCTCTATCCTTTTAAACTGTTTTTCTTGGGTGAAACTGTCACTGTGGTGAAAAACTGAGCACAGCTTCTATGTGTGGCAAGGGACACCGAGTGACAGATGGAAACATTACCAAGAAAGACAGAGATGTAAATGGCTACAGTGAAGATCAAGGAAGCTTCTAGAAGCTGTAAAGGTCAAGGAAAAGGGTCCCCTGGAGCTTCCAGAAGGATACCTAGATTTCAACACCATGAGGCTTGTGCTGGACTCTAGCACAAAGAACTCTGAGAGGATGCACTTATGCTGCTTAAGATGCTAAGCTCTGTGATCTGTCAGGGCAGGAAAGAACACTGCGAGCAAGCCCCAACAAAGAAATAAGTAGGGGTGTGTCTCCACACAGGGAGTCCTCAGAGAGCTCTCAGGACAGGTTGGCAGGAAGAGGAAGCCCACTTAGCCAGAAACAGTACATGTGTGCTTCCTGTGAAAATTCACTCACTTGTATACTTATCAATTAAAAAAAAAGTTATTAAGAAAAAAAGCCCTCTAGTTAGGGATGTAGCTCAGCTGGCAGAGTGCCTAGCATATATGAATCCCTGAGTTTAAGTCACAGTACCACATAAAAGCTGGGTGTGGTAGCACATGCCTGTAATCCTGTACTCAGGAAGTCAGCTTGGACTACATGAAACCCTGTCTTCAAAACAAACCAGCAAACAAACCTGTAATAGGAATGTTTAATGAAAAGGGTCACACCAACCTCATGGACCAGAACTGCTCCAAGCTGTATGTTCTCTAGACAACTGTTGACCTCTAGGCCTCAACTTTCCCACCTTTAAATCAGACATAAGGGTATTGCTATCTCATTGGGGTGGGGAAGACTCAATGGCCCACGTATCGACTCAAAAGCCCCCTTCCAGCTTTGTGAACACACAAATAGTTCTCCTCCCACCTGAGAATTACCAAGAAGGAGATAGAAGGCAGGAGCTTATCTCTAAAATGAAAGAAACAGCAGACAATAAGCTGTGCTGCTATCTCTTTTACATGCCTCTGATGTACAAGAATCATTAATCCTCAGTAATTCACACATTTGGTCTGTTGGCGTTTAGGAGACAGCTCCAGTGGGCTTGCTCAAAGGAACTGTGATGGTTAACCTTGGCTATCAACTTAATTAGATCTAGATCAGCTGAGAGACATGCCTCTGGGTCAGTTTGTAAGGGTACTTCCTAGAATATCAACTGAGGGAGGAGATCCTCCTCCCAAGTGGGTAGCACCTTCCAGCATCGGTGGCCCAAATATAACGAGGTCTGAGGGAAAAGCAGGGTTGATTTTCAACTGCCTGCCTTTGCTCCTGGTTGAGTGTTTATCTACCCTGTTGCTGCCATCCTTTGCTGACAACAGAACCCAGCTTCTTCGGCTTTCCAATTCAAAATGAAGGCAGTGGCTTTCCAGGAATCCTCCAGACCTTCAGTGCCAAAATGGGAATGCTGAGGCATCCAGCCTCATGGAGAGAGTAGGACATGGGTTCTCAGCTTTTCCAGTGTACAGATACCTAACCACCTGACTATGTAGTTCTTAGGCCTTAGGAACTGGTTTGCAGGAGGAATGTGAAAGGGTTTGGAAGTTTGGTCTAGAAAGTCCTTGAATGTTGTATGCAGAGCATTTGGGCTGTGGCAGGGTTACTGCTCTCCACCATATCCAGGTGAAAGAGGCTGACAACTAGGGCAGAAAGATACAAAAAATGTGCTGTTCATGAAAGGGCTCCCTGTTCCTGCCTTGGAACATGTATGCTGCTTCAACTGTGGTCCAAGGGGACCAGGCTTCATACCAAACTAGTTGTAGAACTTGGCAGCATTGTCCACATGATACTGGTTTTGCAGGTACGAAACATGCAAGACTGAGGGGGTCATGGAGTCTTGCTCCAGATCCAGACAGTGGCTAAAGCCAAGCAATTTAAGGTCAGATTCCCTGCAAGAAGTCCTGAGCGGTCACTGTGTGAAGGTGTGAAGGCAAAGACTAAGTTACACTGGAGACCTGAGGATGTTGTAGTGGCCAGAACTATGGTACGCCTGCCAAAGAAAGCTGAGTGCACAGAGTGGGGCCAGCCCAAGAAATAGGCTATGTGTGCTGCAGGCAGCAAGCTATAGGGCAGGGGTACTAAGTCCCTTGGAGCCAAGATGATTCTGTCATGAGCCCCAGATACCAGACATGAAGCTGTAGAATTTGGTGTTTTCCTTGCTGGGTTTTGGTCTTGCAACATCATATTTTCTTTGCTATGCCCAGTCTTCTCTTTTGGAATGAGAATGTTTACTCTGCCATAGTATGTTGGAAGTATGTTGAAAGTATATAACAAAAAAATTATTTTATTGGGGCTTACAGGTTAAGAGGTTGCCTTGTATCTAAGAAAAGACTAGTCTTTTGAACAGTGTTAGGACTGTTAATGACTATGGGAACTTTTGAAGTTGGAATAAATTGCTTTTGCATCATTTGATAGACATGAGCCTATGGGGACCAGAGGAACAACATGGTTTGAATGTGAAATGACATCCATGGGCTGTTCAAACACTTGTCATGTGTTTTGAACACTTGGTCCCAGTCAGTGGGACTGTTTGGGATGATTATGTAACCTTTAGGTGGTGGAGCCTTGCTGCGGGAAGTAGGTCACTAGGGCCAGGCTTTGGTGTTTTGTTTTTTTATTATTATTTTTAATATTTTATTCATTTTTTTATGTGTATGCAATATATTGCCTGCATGTAGGTAAGTGCACCCATGTTGTGCAATACCCACAGAGGACAGAAGAGGCTGTTGGATCCCCTGGAACTGGAGTTATGGACAGTTGTTAGCTGCCATGTGGGAG